CTCTGTCGTATATCGTCAAATCCAACACATCTTTGCTATGAAACATGTCACATATGTCCACTGTAAGCCTACAAACCCATGTAATTGTGCCGGTTGCCAATTGTAGTGTTCTACAAGCTCTCCTTTGCAGCTCCAATCTACCCACCTCGTCTGTTCCTCCCTCCTACTCAACAGTGACTGCATGGCCCCTAGTGCCTTGCAAGGCCGCGGGGGTTGTGGGGGTGCGGGTTGCTCGCAAGGTCATGGTGTCTGGTGCTCCCCGACGAGGACTTTGAGCTGGCCCAAGAGGGCTGCCACCCGAGCCCACCCTATGGTGGACGTGATTGTCGCTGGACACTCCGCCTTTTGACACAGAGCCCTCGGTAGTGTCTTGTCTTCACCATTCCGACAATTTCCGGGAGAGTACGCCATACCATTCAGCCAACAACGCTGTCCGAGTCCAGTAGGGAGCTGGAAGAGCGGGAATGCCCAGAAGTTGGTGATGTCGAGTTGGCGCAACTTCACTACAACACCGTGCCCTGCGCGTCGTAATCCTGAGCCAGAATACGCAAGAATGAAATGGTTACATTGAGCTTTCGAGGAGATATCGTCGTCCGAAGTTCCTTTGGGGGCGCTTAGAAGGGGAAAACAGGCAAATGCGCGAGACGCGGCGCGGCGCTCTCACGACAAGCGAGCTGAAACCGGCTGTAAACCTGAAACGCACGGATGCAAATATTGATATTGGCGTCCGTCCCCGCGCCCTCTATGTCAATGTATCCGAATACACTCAATCCCGGATAAGCAATCCCTATCCGGTATCAAATCTCCTCTCCCCCCGTGCAGTGCTTTGGTTGCTACTTGTCCAGTGCGCAAACGAAGGAATGCGAGTCCGGACCAAGCGGAGTAAAGACATCCTCGTCCACGAAGACTTGCCGGAAACAGACCGGCGGTCCGAGCAGAATGGATGCATACCATTCTAATAGACTCTTTCTGCAAGCGGTTCAGAACCAGACCAAATCTTGGTGATCTCTGAACCAATGGGGCTGGGGCTGTGGGACATGACCGTTACCGCCCCAAGAGGCGTCTAAGGAAACCTTTGTCGCACACTTTGGTAGGCAAGAAATCAGAGAATCAAACTCCCATACCAGTTTACCGCATGAAAGAAATCTCAAACATGCTTGACGGTGCTGAGAAGAGCCTGCCTAGTGTGAACGGCAACGGACGACCATTCATGTGGCACGCGCGAGACGTTGCGGAGCACTAAGCGTGAAGGCCCCACTGATTCTGAACCTGGAGTGCTTACAAGTTGAACTACCCCACTGATTCTGAATCGCCTGCGGAAAGAGTCTACTTGCAAAATGAACCGCTCGCCACCCGCTTCGTCTCCTCTTCCGACATCCTCAGCTTCTCAGAGAGGAATCGAATACATGAGCTTTACTTTTCGGATATCGTATGGCATTTTGGACTTACCGATGAGGGTACGACTTCCTCCAATCTCGACCAGCACCATCTCCATGAGGGCAAAGGCGTAAGGAAAAGAGTCGATGCCACTCACCCGGAGTACCAATGAGCAAAGCACTGCCGTTTTGGTTGTAAGATCTCGTTCATTTACCTTGTACTTTGGGATGTAACTCGTCCGCGGGATGCTTAGTTTGACACCACATTCGGCTCATAGTGTTCAGGTATCCTCCGGGGTATGTATAGCGTTTAGTAGAAATACACAAGTCCAAGAGCTACCCAACAACTAGTAACTGAGAACTGATTCCGAGAAATTATCATTGCCCTTTCAGAATGCTCGCAATTCTTGCCTCCTGCACTTGCTGTCGAATTGATATAATGGCGGGGAACCCCAAGATTAACGCCGCTAGCCAATACTGAAACTAGAATAAAGGAGCGGTAGACGTCAGTGTGTGACCGCGCGAAGGCAAACTAACGGCTAAGCACTTACGCCAACGACGAGTCCTGTGCTGTGCTTTCTGCACAGGTACGCGACATATAGAGATTCAAACCCATGGAAGACTGCCAATAAGCCCCAGGAGAATCGAAGCATCCAGGATGGGAAGAACGACAAGATGATGTTGCCAGGGGCAAAGTAGGGGTTGTATGGAGCGTGCTTCAGAGATGAAGCGTACGTCGTGTAGACCAGGAAGGAGACTGCAACGGCTGTGACGACCATTTGAGGGTGGAACTTAAAGGACGTGATCTGTGGTGCCTTGACCTACGCCGCAACCGTAGCAGTTAGATGGACATGCAACGTGTTCGAAGAAGAATATCGAGGCGTACCATTCCGAGCTCCTCCTCGGCCTCTGCCTTCATCGCGATCAGCCGGGGCTTCACCTCATCGTACCCCGCCAAGGGCGGGTCAAACTGCACCCGAATCTCCTTGGTCGCTGTGCTGCCCTTCGTTTGGTATGTGAGGTTCATGCCCTGTCCCGCGCATCATTGCATCAGTGCCCATTCGCATGCGTCGACACATACGGAGAGATGCGCACTTTCGTGTCAATCGACGTCAACTTCGCCGTGCTGACAGCCTCCTTCACCTTGCCCCAGTACCGCACGTACGAGACGAGCGTGTCGGGGTGATTCGACATGTACATGCAAAGGAAGCCGGACTTGTCTGCGACAGGATCGCTGGCCATGGTGCTCTCGAGGCTGCCTAAGGGAGCTGATGTGACCTGGGAGGTGAAGATTGTAGCAGAGGATGCGCAAGGCTGCGAGAAGTATACAGTGGGAGCAGCTCGGCGCGGTTACATCGTGCGTGGACGAGCCGGAGCGCGATGCGGGAGGCGCTCTCACAGCCGTGCGAATTGCGTTCGTCCGATGACATTTGCCGACACTCGCACGAGGTCGTTTGGTCTACCGAATGACCTCTAACCACACCTTTCATTCACCACAGAACTAGTCGGTGAGACGACATCCCATCATACAAGAGCCATGGCAGCCCGTAGACCGCCGGGAGCGACCCCGATGCTCAACCTCATCGATGGTTCGCACGGGCTGTCTCAGAATAACTTGTGTTCACGAGCCGTGATCGACACGTTCTAGAGAGAGCCATACAAGTCAACATCAAGGCCAGTTGTCACCGACTCAAGCTCCTCGTAACACTCCCTCATCGTGCCCGCAAAACCATCCTCGTCGCTGGTCTCCAGCCGGAACCCCAAGTCCACCTTCGGCATCCCTCTGTTCACGCGACGTCGGAAAACCGTCACCATCGCCTCGATCAGGCCTGGACACCATTCAAGATATTCCAAAGACATGGCGCCGAGGTTAGGGAGGACGAGCGGTTCGTCTGCGGAGTCCGTCGAATCCGTCTCCGATCCCGCGTCCGAGTCCGAGTCTTCCTCCCACAGCGGCTGTCCAAGCGCACCCACCAGCGCAAGAGGTTTATCGCTGCCAACGATTTCCAGATATTCTATGGTTGGGAACGCAGCAAAGAGCCGCACCCAGGCGCCTGGACGGGAGGCGTACTGGTGGTCGCCCAGCACATGAAGCGTGGTCAGGGGCGCTCCGGCGAATATCGTCGCAAATTCTCGCATCGCATTTTCGAGGTAGAACGCGATCGAATCTCGAGGGTTCCGTGCGAATTCGAGCGCTATCGTCATCTTCGGCCCAGAACGTTGTTCTGCTTGCCCTACCAGTGCCCAGCTGTCGATCCAACAGTCGATCTGCCCATGTCTAACCGAACGAAGAAGAGGTAGTCCGCTTCGGTCCGCCGGCAATAAGGACATGAACGCGTCCGAGAGGTCTTCAGTAGCTTCCGCCATGCGACCAGTTATCTCGACGACGTCGATGTCGGCGGAAAGCTGAACGCGAGACAGAAACCGCGAGATGACCGCGGGGGTCTCGCAGATGTCCAGGACGCGCATTTTGGGAAAGGTTATGGGTGTACGGTCGTTGGTTGTCGTGGGCCGCTGACGCAGTTTCGAAAGGAAGAGTCGGAGGCGGAGATGCTCCAGTTCAGCGCATTCGGCGAGGACATCCATCATTTGGCTCATCGTGAGGGCAGAATCCCGGTAAGTGCACTCGTTGAGGTCCAGTCGACGTAGTTGATGGAACATCGCAGGGGTCCAATGGATGTTCTTGGAGGAGAGGCGTAGCGAACGAAGAGCAGGAAACCGCGTGGGGGATAAGTCCAACCGCCCACCAGGCGCCGTGGAGACGTCAATTCCGGACAGGAGAGGGAGCGACGTATCGGCGTTGAATATGGCCTGCAAGAGGGGTAAAGCATGTGGCATCTGCGTATCATGCAAGAATACGGAACGGAAGCGATGGATGTGCGATACCAGGAGGGGCGTGTACAAAAGGATCGGAGCGGATTCGTCGAACCGTAGGTCGACGGGTAGGTTCCCGGAACGGGTCAGGACCAGCCTCAACCATTCCACTTTGCGCCCGATTCGGGATGCTCGCCATAGAGAACGCGTGGACAGACCGATCTCCCGCCAACGACGGCATACAAGCATGAGGTGGATCCACCTGCAATTGTACCAAGACTGAGGCAGGATCTTCCAGGGCGGTGGTTCGTCCGAGTAATCCAGTAGAGGATCGTACGAGTGATTGTAGAAGAAGAAAATTTCTACTACTATCTCGTTCGGGAGTGGGACCATGGCGGGCGGATATGTGTCGAAGAAAGCCTTCAAGAACAGTATAAGTCAGGTTGTCAGTACGTGCCGTGCGCTGGACATAGCATCGGCAAATCATACAAAGGGCACTTGATGTGGGTTTTGTTATGGAGGGTCTCGGACACGGTAGAGATTCGGTGATGCTCGTGGTAGAGGTTGAGGTCCTTCAGGAGGTGCAGGGACTCCGCTGTCTACTTATCTAGTGGTCGTCGTTGATAACACTCAACGCGGATGACAACCAATCCATAGGACGGCACCCCGGCACCAATATCCAGGACAAGATATCAAAGCGATGTCACATTGATCCAGTCACCTCGGTGATGGCGACACCAGCTCGAACAGATAGCACTCCAGTACCAAGACATACCCTTCAGTTGGCACGCGACGCGGCCTGGTGGTGCTATGTATGTAGTTGATGGCTGATTATAGTTCTACCCACTAGCGTCATCTGCGCTACCCATGCTCAGGAACGCTGGCTTCGTGCTTCAACTCGCTGTGCCTTGCATGGCATCATATTCAATACCTACGAATGGCTTACAGCGAGTTGCTTTGCCATGGAGACGTTTCCATCAGCCAACTTGCGTCAAATGAACTCCGGTGTCAAGATTAGCTATAGATTGTGCCAGCTGCTTCGTTGGCTTCTCATGACTTGTGTAGCCCACCCATAGCGCAGCAGGACCACACGGTTGGATAAGCTATGTACACGTATCATTACCATCCAGACGGCGGGGACACCGCCGGACGTACTCCTGACCATGGCAAGAGGCAAGACCCAGGGACGCAAGCGTACCCAATGCACGGCAGGTTTATAATCTGTTCCCTTGCCTTCGATGGCCGGGGATGGACGGGCGACCGCAGCGCACTTTCCTGAGCCCTGCCACTTGCTAGTCTTACACCTACGCTCCCAAACGTCTTACTCTAGCCTCTGTCAGTTCCTCGTACTTCCGGTATTCCCCTAACACCATCCGACACTTCTCCTCCTCACACACTCCTAGTTTGCACGAGCCGCTGGCTCGCTTTTGAACCGCCGTACCCTTCTTCTTTAGATTGTAGTCAGTTGATGTACTTATGGCCTACCATGAGGCTCGGCCTCGCAGGGCACTAAACGGGATCCAGAAAGAAAGAAAGATTACCATCCAGCTTGATCACGAGCGACTCGAGCGCTAGCTCCAGACCTCCAAACTCTTACCCAGCCTCGTCCATGGTATCCAGCGCGAACCACAGCACTTGCAGCTTCGGAAGACCCATCGGGGTTTGGCAAGTAGCCATTTTGCACATTAGTAGCGGGAACTTCAGTTGAATGAAGAACAGAAGATGAGCGATGAAACTTGGGATGTTGCAAACATCATCCGAAATGGCGTATGCTGAGAAGAGATAGTATCAGCGGTAGCGGTAGATATGTGGAATGAAACGCGATGCTAGGGTGGCCCGCGCGTTGACTAGGTTAGCTATTTTATGAAAGCACATCTTTGGACGTACCTGCGACTCGCGGTTCTCTAACGGTGGATCTGCGCTGACGTTATGTCCTACCTATCGACGTGACCACATCGTCCCATATCGCGCAACGGGAGGAGCTCAATGGGTCGTTGCTTCATCAATGCTTCACACAGGAGATACCAATACGCAACGCCCAGCCTATCGGCTCGATGGGTATCATACAGGATGCCTGTCTCGCACATTTCGCGTGGTTTCGAGTTATTGAATCCATTGATCACCCGGCTTGGGCTTCCGCATTGAGAACGTCCCATGCGTAGGCGCAAATTACACAGTGCTCGGGACGCTGATTCTGCCCAAAGTACTTGCGCCCAACAGATCTCCATACCGCTGGGGGAAGAGCATGGCCTCGCGCATGTGCAGGAAAAGGCGGGAACCAAGGATCGAGGGCAGCGCCCCGGACCATCTGGAAGAAGAGGTGTCAGCGAGGGCGGTGAGCATCAAGGCAACTCACGACAACAACAACGTACGGCACGACCATATTGATATACCCATTATAATGCGACCATACGATGGTGCTGAGAGCGAGCTGAATGAAGACCCTGAGTAAGTCACTCGCACGTCAGTCCACACACGTTTACAGTGGCGCATAGTCGCGACCCACCCAATGAAGTAAACCACACTGAGGCACGCCGTTAGAACTTCCATCAATTCCGCTCCGAGGACACCGGCACGACGTACCTGTCTTGAGCAAAAGCTTTCACGAGCCGTCCCGAGTCAATCGTGAGATGATGGCTCTGGCGAGAAGATTCCCTACGGTCGCGCCGGAAACGGTCTAGCCGGTCCTCACCCCACGCCTTCCACACGACGAGAATGCACAGAAGTGGCTCGTATAACAAGGCGGGGAGCCAGAAGAACGCTGAAATTGAGAAGATGCCAGAGTAGTAGCATCCTGTGTCGGTAGAGATGACAGGAAGCTCTGTCAGGTGGTCTTTAGGTGGCGCGTTGTATCTGTGACTTGACAGGTAGCGTCACCTTCAACATTAGCGAAAGTCAGTGCAACAAAGAGTATCATGATTGCTACTTCGACACCACAGCCGAACACAAGGAACAGTTGCATCCGTTTACTCTTCTTGTATAGTGCATAGACCTATCCTCGTCATCGTCGTTGATAAAGACAGGATCTGAGCACCAAGTGATAAGGGATTGACTTGCCCGCCTTTGGAGAATCACTGAACTCTTTATTAGCAACCAAACACAGATTGATATCGCGAATAGCTTGCCTTGAATCGCTAGTGTCGAAACGACTATGACAACCTCATCGATAGCCAGATAGATGATACATCTGGATATATATTAGCATCCGCCTGTGGCGAGCAGTGCTGCACTTACATCTGCGTTGCATGAGGATAGGTAGTTTGAGTTCACTTTCAATTAAATATAAGGCATTGCACACCTTAGCAGAGGCGATTCCCCCAGGTACAAATGGGACTGGGAAACGATACGGTCAGTACGACATTAGCAGATCCACAATCATAAAGAGAGCACGGACCAAGATCTAGGACCAGCCAGATGAGGGGGAAGAGCCGATTCTGCAGATGTGTATTGGTTGCAACTGATATGAGAACGAGGGGATTGTGAACGTACAAAGAAGTACAGCCAGCACAGTCGCGAGCGTTTGCGCTGTCTCCAAAGGACGTCGACCTGCAGTGCATCAAATCATCCAGCACGCACGACTTTCAGTCAGGAGTAAGGAACAGCCTTACCTCGAGGTCTAAAGTAAGTACTGTGGCAGGCACCACGGTCAGATGAGTATGCTACCGTAAAAATTACGAACTCACAATAATCATAGATGAGTAGCCCCAGAGCGCCTGCGCGGGACTGCTTGCCGATGGCCACTGTGTAATGCGTCAAGAAATAGCGGCTAGAGAAATCCCAGCACTCACAGGCTTCAGCATAAGAATTAGGTAGGGCAGTCGGTGCCATGGGGGTTCATACGCTCGTTCGCTCCTTAATCTGGAGCATTTCCGCCATTTTAACCCGTACAGCGTGGGGTATAACCTACACTCAGACGATAGCTGTGGTAACCGTCAGAGCCCCTAGCGGTGTTTATGCGGTCATGTCACCGGCGCGGGATATCGACGTTCCTCAAGGCGATGCCCCGACCCTGTAGGAGCGCCCTCGGTCGCGCGTACTCCCCAGGATTTTTTGACGTCCGTCTCTCGATAGCTGGGCTTGCTCAAACGTTCGGGACACAGGTTGCGGTGGGGTGAGAGAAAAAGTGTAACGGCGCCGGCAGTCTTCTGTAGAAGAAACACTGCATGAGAGAATCAACTTAGACAAAGGGCGATGTAGGGTGGATGAGCGCGTACCGATTGTCATCTCGCTGTCGAGTCGTTGCTCCTGTGACCTGGTCAACAATACGCCCCTGTCGATCCACGAGTGGTTTTGCGTTTCATTCGGACCACAAATGACATTTGGGATGGCGGCTCTGCGGCCAGATCATTCATGTGAGATGCTGAAAAGAAGGTGGGTGACATGGCAATTCGTTTGAGTCAGCTATTACCACCTACTCTCATGAGATGAGTCGCACTGCGGGAGCACCCATAGCGGCGGATAGGACCACATAGACGACCCACAGTAGCGAAGCAGATTGGAAAGAACTAGTTGTCTCTCATCGCTGAACGGGCCACGCGATCGCCTTAATCCATGTCCGAGCATCCTTGAGAGCACAGGTGCACGTGAGTAGCCGATGACAACTGATAGAAGGGAGGCTGGAGCTGTATCGCGCAATCAGGTGATCATACGAAAGCAAGACCAGCGAAATGATACATTGAATTATGACTTCACGTACGACAACAAAACGAGGATAGCACAATGATACACGAGGGCATTCGAAGAGGAAGATGGAGAATAACTGTAACGGAGAGCCCCGAGTTACGCCGAGCCTCCGACCTCTGGAGATTGCATGAGATGTCAGTCAACCACACGTTAAAGATGCTGACACCGGTATACGTACGTTCTACCATGACATCGATCGTATCTAGAGGTAGCGGCAGTGAGTGGGGTTCGACTGAACACCTAACAGGATGAGCGGCGTACCGTTGTCCTCCATGTCCAAAGATGCTGGTGTGTCCTCGTCGCTTATCCTAGCACCGTCGTAGAGGAATCTGCGAAGCAGACATTACAAAAGTGCGCGGTCAGCACGATGCCCACGCATTTCTTCCGCACTTCGCAAACGCAGAAGCAGAGAGATCAACCTAGCCGACCGCCGATCTCCAGATCCGTGCGACGCCACCCGCGTGCACGTCCTCGCGACGCGACGAACGGCCGAAGGGTGTAGTGTAGTGCAAGCAGAGAACCGATGGACTCACCGGATGCTGCTCACGTCCTTGCCGACCTTGTTCGCGTATGCGCCTTGAAGCTTGCTGAGCTTCGTATTCCTCTTAATCTTGAAAAACACCTCCTCGCCCGTCTGGGTCGTCACCTGTGTGCCACAAAACGCAGTCGTCAGTTAACGGCTCCGACCGAGATCAATAAAATGCTTTGCGTCGGCAGTCTCATCGCCGCTACGCCCTCCACTCGTGGGAGTAGTAGAGCCACCAACGACAAACATGCATGTTTAGAGGCCTACGGTCTAACGTACCTTAATGTTGATGGGCGCGTTGGCGTCCTCCTGCTTGGGCTCAGCGTCCTGGGACGCTCCCGGCTCATGGTCAGCCATGTCGTGTGTGGATATGTGCGCGTCGGTGAGGGGTCGAGCAGGCGGTTATGCGAGTGGTTCGCGGCTAAAGAACGAATCCATCGACGACAGCCTCCTCCCCCGGCGTCAAGCATCGATTACGTGATGTAGCCGCTCCAATCTGAAGTGACCCTGTCCTCGTCCATGGTATTCGGCACTCATCGGCCATAAGTGACCTGTAACAATGAGGCGACCAGGTCGGCGTAGGCAGGAAATAATGGATAAGGTGTTGTGGGGACATACGAGGCCATGGTATCATTACAAAGATCCACTAGTAATCTAAAGAACAGGTCACATACACTACTTGGGCTAGAGATAATTGATAGGATATCGTGTTTGAGGGAATGAAGTGGAACAAACAAAACCACGCTACGCAAACAGACCCTCACATGAATGAAGAAAGATGTAGAGAGACACACCAGAGATCTGGGGCGAACCCGAATAAACGCGGAACCATCCTTCACCGACCGCAGGGCCCTCACCTCACCTCTTCCCGCCCACCTTCGCCAGCAGCCTCTTCGCCGCGCTATACTCCGCGTCCTCCTCGTCGCTGTCCGCCCACAGGTCCCTCGCCCCAGCCTCCTCGATCTTCGACCCCCACCCGCCTCCGCCCCGCTGCACGCTCCGCTGCGGCGGGGACCACGGCGCGTGGCTGCTCTGCGGTGCCTCCTCGTCCGTGTCCTCGATCGCGGGCGGCGTCGCCGAGAACGTGGGCGGCAGCGACATCCGCACGCTCTTCCGCCGGCGGGGGGCTCCGCCCCCGTCCCCGCTCCCGTCTGCGCATCCCCAGGGGCTTGGTGTGTCTGGACAGTAGACGCGGTCGAGCGCGAGAGCTCGCTGCCGTCCTGCTGGTGCGCGTCCGCGTGTCCGTTCGGCGTGGGCTCTGGTCCTGGTCCTGGTGCGGACACGGATCCGGGCACGAGCATCGGGATGGGAGGGAGGGCAGGCGAGTCGTCGCCTTCCGTGTCGGAGCCGACGAAGACCTCGCGGCCGGTCTCGTACGACGAGATCGACGATATGTCGCTTTCGCGGCGGTTCATGGTCGGGCGCTCTGCACTGGGAGGTGCGGGCGCTGGGTATGTCTGTGCGGGCTTGCTCGTCGACGGTCCGGTCTGCTGCGCTGGGCTAGCGTTGGCTGCAGTCGTATCCTGAGGCCGCGCCCTATCGGGCGACGTCCTGACGGCCGTGTTGGGCGACGGCGAGCGACTCGCGTTCCGCAGCGCAGACCGCAGGGGCATCTTCGGGCTGCCCGGGAGCGGCTTCGACGACGCCTCCGCCCGCGCCTGATTTATGGCCCCAGCGGCTGTCACCGACGTCGACCCAGACAGGGGCAGCGTCGGGGCAGACACGGTTGCGGACAGCAGCAACGAGTTCCTGTAGTTGTTCTCCTCCGGCTTCTCCTGCTGGCCCGCCCTTTTCAGCCGCGGCCGCGGACTGGGGGAGCCGCCGTTGGCCTGCGCCTGCGCCCGTGCCTCGGGCTGCGGTTGCGGCGGGGTCGTCCTGATGACAGGCAGCTCGCCCAGGCTGTCGCTGTAGGCGACGTTGATGCGCCCAGGGGCTTTGGGGACGACGAGCAGGTGGTTCGGGTTCTGCTTGAGCGCCGCCTCTTTGTTCAGGCGCGAGATGCCCTCGACGATGCTCATGAGACTCGGCTGCCCGTTCGCGTTCGTGAGCTGCGATCCGGCTGCGGACGGCGCCGCCCCCGTGCTCGTCGACGCCGAGGCCGTGCGCTTGTGGCTGGGCCCCGGTTTGGACGGCTGCACGTCCAGCGACGTCGTCCGCCTGCGTGCCGGGTCGGTCTTCGCGCGCCCGTGCGCCGCAGGAGACGTCCGTGCGGGCGCGCTCGCCGTGCTCGTGACTGACTGCTTGGAGATCGAGGAGTTGCGGGACAGCGACGCCGAGCCCAAGCCCTCGGCTGCGAAGACATTGTTGACCGCAGGCGACTTCTTCAGCCGACTGCCCGAGGAGGGTCCCGCCTCGTCCTGTGGCCTCAGGGAACGTACTCCCTCGATGGTCGGCGGCTTCGAGACCGAGCGCTTCCGCTGGGGCTTTGTACGCGCGGCTTTGCTCATCGACTCGGTGACAGTGTCGCTCATGTATCCCTTGTCTGGCAACGCCATCCGCGAGGATCCCTGTGTCTGGACGGAGCCGCGCTTCGAACGCTTCTTGAGCCTCGCCATCTCCCCGTCGGGCTGCAGGCCCTTCGTGGACGAGCTAGCGTGCATGGAATAGGGGTGCGACAGCTGCTCGTCGTCCGAACTGTCGCCACGCTGTGCGGACGCGAGGTGCTTGTCGATCCGCGTGCGCCAGGCGCTGTCCGCCTTCGACGGAGAAGCGCTCGAAGGCGCACCCACGTCCGAAGACCGCGAACTCCCGACGTGGAAAAGCGCGGCCAGGCTACCGAGGACCCCGCGCCTCTTGGTCGGGGACTCGCTGCGGAACGAGGATGCAGCCGGGATATTCGTCTCGCTATGCTTGCGAATGGAGAAAGAGACGTGGCGCGAGGGGATGGGCGACGCGGGTGCCTTCCCCTTGCCCTTGCCCTTCGTAAACAGTGGGTTTTCGTGCACTTCGACCGGAACACTGTCGGGGTCCTCGCCTTCCTCCTCACTGCTCCCGCCTCCTTCCTCAATGATGGTCGCTGGGTGAGCTGTGCCGTTTGGCACGGCATACTCTGATATCGAATGCGCGGGTGGTATTGAGAGTGTGTATGACTGAGGTAAGGTCGACGGGAACAGGGGTGGGGATGAGGGAGCGCGCCATGTGGAGTCGGTGAGAGCGGGCGACGAGTGGAAGCCGATCTGGGATGCGGATTGCGAGGGTGCTATAGAGGAAACGTCAGATGATGTCGACTTATCGTTGCCGTTCAGGCGCTGCTGGAAGTCTGGGTGCATCGAAGGGCTGCCTATAGTTCATGTATGTTAGCAACCTCTCGAGGCATCCCTCTCCCAACATCAAAGCAGCCGCAGGAACCGTAAACCCGGCGGACGAATGAGTGGGCGGCTGCGAAGCAACAATCATCGACCTGCAACGTCGGAGATGAAGTGAACCCTTCCGTGTCCGCATTGTATCCAATGCCTCGTAGCCATAGCATTGCGAATGAAGATGAATGAGGCGGACATGCACGGTGAATGCCCTCCCGTGAACGAACGTTACATTTGTCAACAAGCCATGGCCTTGAGGCAGACCGACGAATCAGGTAGACCCGGAAAACGGTGAAGGTCCGACGATGCGGATTCAGACGTCACCACGAGCAGGCCCTGGGAAGCAAAGAATGAGACACGAGAGAGGTGAGACGCACCGTGCCCATTAGCCATATCCAAGCTCTCTAATGCGCGCATGCCCTCCTTGCCCATCTCGCCCCAAGCCCAGCCGCACTCGACCATAGCCTTACAGCGTGCATGAAGGCCTGACCTGATGGCGTGCACGCGGAAGGCACTGAGCTCCTGCTCCTTAGCGGCGAGGTGGGCCTCGCATGCTTGCAATTGCGCTTGGGCGGCGGAGAGTTTGGATCCAACCTGGACCTCGGACTTTGAGATGCTGAGGGAGGATCCGGACGGAGAGGGTGCGATGGAGTCTCTCGTAGACTTCTGGGGAGACTTGGACGCCTTGATGAGCCGCGTTACGCTGTCGGGCAGCGCCGTGCATCCGCCTCAACAAACTATACCTGCACGATGGTAGGACGTTGAACTCACAGGATCTCCCGGTCTCGCATGATATTCGCGACGTCGTCCTCCATGTTCTTCAACGCTTTGAGCTGCTCCTGCCATTGCTCCACGGCAGCGGCATAACTTCTGAGCGCGTCGTCCGCGCCTGCGAGAGAGCCCGCGACAGCGATGATCACCTGCGAGATTGGGGGGGCTGACGCGCTCGCGTAGGCGGAGAAGGAGGCGAGAGAGGCATGGGAATGGTCGAGGAGGATGGAGAAATGTTTTGAGTAGTCCTTCTCGTGGCTGAGGAGGTTGCTGAGCAGTCGCGAGTCCGCCGGCCGGTGAACCATATGTCCGCGCGGAAGTGTGGTGGGAAGGCCGCTATCCCGGCGTTGCCTTCTAGGTGGAGAACGAGCGTGGGGTAGATTTGCGAAACGGGAGGCGTTTACGTATGTTGGGGTAGTCCTGATGTTGGGCCTGCTGGCGTAGAGGGTGTATGAGCGCTGAAGAGGAGGAGGAGAAGGCGGCGAACCGAGAGCGCTAGGTTGAAGCCACGGAGAAATATGACAGGCGGACAGCGTGACGTAGGAGCTCAGTATGTACACTGCCTCTTGGGTCATTATCGTCATCAGCCGTCCGCCTCACTCAACGCCCATTCAAATCACACCGACTCGTCATGCGCACAGCCTAGACTTTGCGGAAGAACGGAAGAACACCTGCCAAGAGACGGACCACAAACCACTCCGCCCCAGTCGGCCGGGACCGTCATTGAGCCTGACAACTGAAGCCGGCGTGGCCCGCCTCGTCCTTATCTGTCTATTCTGCTTATCCAAGACAAGTCGACAACCAGCGGCCAGGAGGCTGCCAAAGGTGCATCCCTGGAGCCGAAGCACTGCCACAGTAGCAGACGGAAAAGCCAACGGCCGTTTGATTATAATTGTTTTATCGAACGTAAGTAGCAGCCCGGCCAGGGCCGGTCATCACAGTAAGTATGCACAACAAGCGTGACAATAGCCGCGAACTGCCGGGTTACAAGGTAGATGGGAGGGTGTCGCGTAACGTATCGTAGGGGCCTGAATGTGGGTGGTTTGGGAGGAGGCGAGAGAGGTCGTAGATGGAATGTGTACAGGGTAGGTTTTGCAGTTTACATGTTGGGGGCGAGCGGGAAGAGGAAGCAGTGGGGACGCGGGTAGGAGGAAGGCGGAAAGTAGGGTGAAATGGGAGGTGGTACGATGGTGGAACACTATGCAGCAATGAAGACGCTCTAGGTGAATGTGCCGATATGCAAGAATAGTTGTAAGTATAAACAATGAACAGATCCGGCAAATAAGAAATCCGACCGGCCAACCAAGAAGGTCCCGGACCAGCCTACGAAAAATCCATGCGCGAGCGCAGAGAAGTCCCCGCGACGATCACCGGGGCTGCCAATCCGCATGCGGATAATGGTCGATCGTGCCCCACGTCCGCTGCGTCTGTCCCGAGCTGCTCGTCGTGTCCTCGCGCGTCGTCGGCGCCGTGATGAACGACTGCGGCGCCGTGCTCAAGTCCGGCCTGCTCTCGATCGCAAGCTCCTGCCCCAGCTGCGCGCCAGCGATGGGCACCCCGCCGCGCTCCGTCTGCAGGCTGAACTCGGACGGGGCGATCGTCGAGCGCGCCGTGTGCAGCTCCAGCGCCTGCTCCTGCTCCTCCGCGCTGGACCCCTCGCGCGACGACGGCAGCGGGACGTTCGCCTCCGACTCCGCGATGTCCGACATCTCGTGCACGCCCTCCTCCGCGCGCCACTGCTCGCGCAGCGGGTGGCCGAACGTGTGGTTCTCGGGGCTCGACAGCACGGCCTCGGACGACGTCGACGCGTACGGGGAGTCCGCGAGGCGGACGAGCGAGTTGGTGCGCGAGCGCACGAGCTCGACCGAGGAGCGCGAGGCGGCGCCCAGCGATTGGATGAGCGAATGGGCGCGCGAGCGCGCGGCGTCAGAGAGCGACGTGCCCGAGTTGGTCCGCGAGCGCGAGTTCGAGTTCGTGCGCGAGCGCGAGCCTCCAGATACGGAGCGCGAGCCGTTCGACCGCCTCGACAGCTGGCTCGCGCGATGGCGCAGGTTCGCAAGGGACGTGCGCGGGCTCGGCGCGGCGGAGAGCAGGCCGACGCTGTCCTGGCGCTCCGCCTCCTCGATCGACCCCTCCGCCTCGGGCACTTCGACGATGGACTCGTCGAGGTCGTGCTCGAGGTCGAGCTCATGGTCGTGGTCGTGGTCGTCCTCGCCGTCGGACTCGAACGAGCCAATCGGGATGGGGCCGAACGTGACAGAAGGGTCCGTCACCACGCTTTCTGTGCGTGTCCGTGCGCGCGGCCTCCCGCCCGGGAACACGACCGGGGAGGGTGAGCCTGGGGACGGGGGGATGGGCACCGTCCCTGCTCTCGCTCTTCTCTGTCCTGCCTGGGCCTGGGGATGCCGCGGGGGCATGGGGATGACGCTCCCGCTGAAGCTCGAGTGCGGGGGGCTCGCGCTCGAGCTCGCGTTCGACCGAGGTGAGTGCGAATCCGTCGACTCGATGTTGCCCGTTGACTGCGTTGAGCGCGAGTGGCGCGTCGAGCGCGACTGCGTCGAGCGAGACTGTGCGGAGTGCGGCGTCGAGTGCGTCTGCGGACTCATGCGCGACGCGGACGATATGCTTCCCCGAGGTCGACGGAACTGGAACGGGTAGCGCGAGACGACGGGGCGGCCCAAGCTCGACATGGATCCCGAAGTGCGTCTCTCCGATGATGGCACTTCGCTCTCGTCCTCCTCGCCTTCCGCCTCCTCTTCCTCCTCGCCCTCGCCTTCCTCCTCTTCTTCTTCCTCCTCCTCCTCCTCCTCTTCGCCTGTGGCAGGCGTCCCCTCGCCTTCGGTCGTGACCTCCTTCTCCTCGATCGCCGGAGAGGGCGGGAACGGTATGTTGTCCTCCGACGAGACCTGCGCGCCGTACGCAGTGAACGGATACGGCAGCTGCATCAGCGGGCCCGACGGATCCGTCCCAGACCGCTCCTTCTGCTGCACCGCAGCGACGGGCGGGATGATGCTCGACAGCTCAGGCGCAGCCGCCGCCTTCGCCTTCCCAGTCGCCTTGTCGTCCACCAGCTCGGGCGTGTGCCGCGGGCTCTCGAACAGCTCGTCGGACAGGATCGGGCGCCGCGCGATGTGCGGGCCCGACTGGAGCCCGACGGCGGCGAAGATGCGCTCGATGCCCTCCAGCGGCGCCGCGGGCTCCGCGTGCGCCTTGCCGTCCTTGCCGTCGCCGCCGAGCGCGGACTCGCCGCGCGGGGGCTTGTTCGTGAGGCAGAAGTCGTACGCGTCCTTGACGCGCAGGATCGTGCACTCCTTCCACGACCACGGGAGCGTGTCGAAGTCGGAGATGTTGTCGTTGAGCGCCGTTGCCGCCTTCTCCGCGTCCTCCTCTTCCCAGCGGTACCGGGGCCCGCAGAACCCGGCGCAGCCTTGTCCGCTGAGGATCCAGAGACCGATCCTGTGTCGCGAGAGCGCACCGATCAGCCTCGTCGTCATCGATCTGGATCGTCAATAAGGCCCACGACGTACCAGCTGATCAGGAGAATCAAGATGCGCCATGCCGTCCAAGCGGCATTCGCGATGAGCACGCCTCGGGCGTAGTCCGTCAACGTCCCGTTAGAAGAACGGAAGAACGTCCCGTCTCTGTGGCTGATGCCAGCATCTCCGAGCGCGACCACGTTCGGATCGGGAAAGGAAAAGGCGAAGAGCAGGGCCATACATAGCGCCGCACGCGGCATCAAGAGCGCGACCGTAGGGAGGTTCTGGGAGTAAAAGTAGAAGGTTTCGGCAAGCCCGTCGGGCAGGCTGCCGTGCTCGCCGACGAAGGCGGAGAAGCGAATATAATACATGAAACAGAAGTTCACGTAAGAAGACATCGCGGCGAAGTTGAACGCTGCGGACGAGAAGTAAATAGGGAGGATCAAGGGCCGTTCTAGGTAAGGCACAGTTACAGTTAGACTAACGTTGATCAGAGTTGCGGAACGGAGGTGCTACTCACTGACACGCCATCGCCGCACGAAGGAGTATACGACCTCGTATACAACGAAGACTACAGCGATCCATGCAAACCAGCATGCAATGTACGCTGCGGCAGCGAGAGCCCAGTTGCGACCGGAACCAGGGACACCAGGTGCCTCGGGGTTGGGGAACTTTGCAACGCTATCGAGAAATCAGCTCCCGGAGGGGCAGATTCGGATACATTACTCACGAAAGCAGGATAAATACGGCGTTGAAGTCGAAGAACGTTTGAAGAGGGATGTGCCCGAAGACGAAAAGTGGGAAGAGATAGTACCACAGGCGCATCTTCCAGGACGGGTTTCGCAGCAACTCCAGATTGAGGTTGGGCGAGTTGAACCTTGGCCTCGGCAGCTGACCCTCCCCACCCGCCGAGGCGGAAAACAGGGTTGGGGTCAGGCCTGCGCTGGTCGCGCGCGACCACGCTCGGGCGTGCATAGGGCCAGAGAACGCGCGCGACTGGTCTGTTGGCTCGCGGCGCGCGTTCTCCTCTGCTCGACTCTGGAGACTGACGATGCGCACTGACCGGGGGGTTGGCTTCCGGCCAACTGGGACAGGCTCATTGCTGGGGCCCGCGTCGGTGAACATGCCAGCTACTGAAGACTGGATGGTGGAACGAGGGACGGGGCCGGGGGGACGCTTGGGGAGCCACGAGGGATAACCTTCCGAGCTGGAGGAGACGCCTTGCGGGGACTGGGGCTCGGATGATTGGCGTTCGGATACGGGTGTTGGTCCGTGCGCGGGGTCTTTCGAGCGGTTTGTGTGTGCAGCCGAACTTGGCCTCGACGCTGATTCCGGCGAGGAGGAGGCTGCGGGGCTAGATGAGTCGTACTGTTGTCGTGACATTGTCGTGGATTACGGAGGAAGACAGCATGCAAAGTGAGTAAATTAGCGAGAGGAGTGGGATGTGCGTAGGGGAGATTAGATGCGGTGCCGCGAGGAGGAGGAGGGCAGCGTGCGGGGGTGGGCACGGCGAGCTGAACACGGGCTCCTTGGTGCTGCTGCTGCTGTAGTGCCTTGAACGCGAGGGCCTCGTGTTATGACGACGGGCAGCCTCGTGTTGAGCGAGCAGTGGGAGACGACGACTCGGACGCGGCAGCGCAGGGACTCGATTTCCACGCCAGCGCGGCCCATCTTCAACATCAACTTACTCACCTAATACGGCAAGCGCTGTGTTAAGCGGCGGCCCGCGCCGGATTTGCTTCCGTAGCCGTGTCCCTGGCCGGTGCCGCCGGTCGCAAGTTGCCTCCGCCCCCGCGCTTGCCGTTCTTGGACGCGTCGACGTCGTGGCGCCGGGTTCTAGCTGCCTTCTAGTGTATACGGAGACGTCGAAACGAGTGTGAGCTGCTTTCTTCTACTCTCGGTCAAGGAGCGACTGCTAGAAGGTCAAAGCGATGGTGGTAAATGGTCAAGGAAGAGGTAAGTGCCCGTACCCACCGGCTGCCGCTTTCACGTTGCCATGTCGATGACGCCCTGCATTCTCTCGTACACAACAGGCCTCTCTAGCGACACATTGTGTCAGTGTGCCGTTATCCGCGTACGCGATGCTCGCCAGTCGAATCAATGCGCGGTGAACTAGGAGGTGAGAGTAGAGCTTACCTACACAACGGGATGTCGTGTTTGGGAACAACAAGCCCGGCGAGGTAGGATTGCTGTGCTCAGCATACCAAACGTTGTTCTTGCCATACGCTGCACATTGACTCGTATGTCTCAAGCAGACGTCCCAGGGCGATTTTTTTCCCTCATGCCTGATGTGATACAAGGCAGCTGGATGGGTGACGGATCTGCTTGTGAGCGGATGCCAGCGTGGTCAGGATGGCTGCAAGCCTTGGAGTAGTCGTATATACCAGCGGGATTGCTTGGGTCAAGGGCTGCTGACACGTGCCTCCGTGCGACTACGCAGACTGGGAAAGACTTTAGAACGCATGATCTGCGGGAGGAACCTAGTCAAGCTATGAGACCTGCACTCCTTACTGGCAGCTATATGCGCGCACCGTGGTTCTCGTACGCGTACTCAGACCTGCGCTGGCTGGTTCGAGGTTGTCATTTACGCATCGGTCTCGAGCTTCGGGGTGATGAAACCCATGCGATGAAATGTACTCGCTTCATGATGTCCGAGGAGGAAGTGGGCTGGGTGAGTCGATGTCCGTTCTTCCGCTCACTCTTGGATATAAACCACATCTCGCTTCGGCATACGAGCTGAGACAGCCGATGACGTCCCGTGAGCCGCGATCAAGTCCTGGCAAGAGTGCTTCCTTTTTTGGATCATCTGCGAAAACGAGTACCTGCGTACGCGTTGCAATTGAACAATCGTATCCTCGTGGGGTAGAGGGATGTCAATGGGAGCCTCAAAGCTGCAAGAGGATCGGCCAACGATCCGAAATCTTGGGATTCAGGTCGACCCCGTCAGTTCGCAGCAATCCTTCCAACAGCTTTGGCCATCTTCGCCGCCGGCGATCCGTCGCGCCCAGGGCAGTGCTAGACTATCCACGGGTCGTCGCGTCATGTTTTTCTACTGCTCTTCTTTCAAGTTGCGAATCGCTGCGCTTGGTTACGCAGCTCAATCTGCGCAGACCGCACCCACGCCTCACGGATTCTACTTCCCACAGACACACTCGCAGCCGCGGAGGGATTCACTGTCCTCGGGCATTTGCGACATCGTCTGCACATTCGGGGCCGGCAGCACGCTGTCGTTGTGTCTGCCCATGACGCCTATCGTATGACGTCTTGACCGTCCAAAGTCCCAACTGACGACGACAGCCACCCTTCGACCTCATGTTGGGGTGGTCCATGGATTCAGCTGACCGTCTGTGCAGCGAAATAACTTGCCATTCGCACTCGGACAAAGCTCTTGATAGTCGTCGTGAGCTGAGCCGAGCTTGCACTCTAGCGGAAGTCCGGCAGATAATCATGTGGCAATAAGGGAGGTCAGAGTGGACTATTCTGGCCGACTCTGACAGCGATTTCTAATTTTGCTTCAACTCCATGATCGCGTTCAGATTCGCTCGGGAAGCGGACGCTTAGAGAGCGATCCAGGCTGACTCCGGAGTCCGTTCGAGCTTTTGATTGCAGAATCGCTGTGACCGCCCCATGTACCACACTGCAGGAAAAACTCCTCTGGGGCCAGGCGTGGTCTTCTGGTTTCTCACGTGCTTCACGTCCTCGATCACGTGCACAATGAGCCCAAAATCACACAGTTCGAACCAGAATTGACTTCGGAATCGTTCATTCTGACCTCCCTCGTCGTGAAACTCTGAGTATTCGTGTCGCAACCGCGAACAGCACAGTCGATGCTCTGGAAGAGCTTCTGCGCGATTATGCCAATATTATTTGCCCCCTGGATCGTCATCAGAATCACCGCGTGGTGGTGTAGTCTGCGCGCAATTGCACCCGATAGACATGAGGCGCTTCACGTGAGAACGATACTAGCGAAGGATGATATATTGATTGGTAGCGGGTGAATGTCTAAGCATCAAACTGTGCCTCCTGGGTCAGGAGGTACCTTCACTATCGCAGCGACCCTGCCCACGGCGTGTCGGCTCCGTGGCTATCGTGTCCCAGGAATGCCCTCTAAGGTCTCGCCAGCATCATGAGCCGGTAGGGTTTGATCACTCGCTCTCAGCACGCCAGAACGATCTTCTCTTCTCCTGCGGAGGAGAGCCTGCGAGCCAGTAACGCCCCCGGGAGGTATATCATATGCTAACCCTCGTTTTCACGGGCATCCTGGCTGTGTTCAATGTCGTCCACTCACCTACCTGACTCATATCTGGATGCCCGTTAGTCCTCACTCTATTGCGATCTGTGCGAGGTCATTCCCGTATACTGACATGGGGTCGCAGTGGATATTGGGAAAGAATCCCGCGCGGGAGCATTGGCGCTCCTCGTTTATGATCACCGTGAGTCTGGGAGCTTCTCATCGTAAGCGTCGGCTAATGGCATCACAGTGGTCACGCTGGATCTCGAAGTACGCCCTCGAACACCTGCGCAGTGCTGAGGCCAAACTCACGCTCGAGATAGGCAGAGCTTGTATGGACACAGAGCAAACGTTCGCGAGTGATCTGGCTATACATCTTCGTAAGTTGGCGGTGCGTCCATATCGGGCATCTTGACTGATACTCGCGTCAGAACCGGTTCTTCCCTCTCGTATGGCTCGTGTTAGACATGAGTGCGTGCAGCTCAGTAAATTTTGAGTGCCCCTGCTCACAGTCCGTCCTTGTAGTTCCGTTCACACGAAGCGGTGTCGTTTCGACCAAGGTGCAATCAAATATTTACTTTTTTGCCCCTACTAGCTACCTACTAGTAGACACATGACAGGTGTACGTCCGTCGCTTACCCTGCGTCTATATGCTGTGCTGACATCCCTTCAGATGTATCATCTATCTGTCGGTCGACGACTTCGTCATCCTCGTGTCAACGCTCGCCGTTCAAAGTACGTCGCTGCCCGTTTCTGTCGTCTTGGGCAGCTCAGTCACATTGCAGAGCAGTCATCCTCCAGCTACGAGTAAGTCGCTCGAATGTCGATCCGAGCCTGCCGGCGCTCATGCTAGAGAGCATAGGTGTACGCGCTATATGACAAGAGTAGAAGGGTGCGGTTGTTCCTCGTCTGCTGCTGGCTCGCCGAAGTCACAGTCATGGCGATACTCATCGGAATCACCATGGCCAATATCTCCGGCAAGTGTCGATGGTGCTCGCCCCAGGCCCGCGCGCAGCCCCTGACGCTCGTCCTTTCAGATCTGCCCGTCGTTTCGACCCCAACTGGATGCTACTACTCCGGCATATTCTCGATATCTGCGCTCTTCTGGCTTCCCGCCTTGGTATACGAGCCGATCCTGTGCCTCATGGTCTTGTGGCAGGCCTGGGACCAGGATTGGACGAGTTGGTTCCGCCGGGCCGTGGACCGTAGTGGCACAAGCGTGCGTTTACACCAAGGACGGCTCTTCAAGGTGTTGGCTAGAGACAGGTACGGTCGCGTGCTCCCTGAGCCAGGTCAGCGCTCACGTCCGTTTCAGCTTGATATACTTTGTCGCGTGGGTGGCTGAATGCAACATCCATATCTCCATCTAACGCGACGCTGCTTCAGCATCTTCATCGAGCTAATCATCAACACCGTCATTTGGTCGCACTACAACAGGTATATCAACATCGTGGTACCGTGCGTGCTCGCTTGTCATGCAATAGCCATGAAGAGTTGACTGACCATTACCTCTAGTTGGGCTGGAGTGCTGCCCTCTATCCTCGGATCACGGCTTTTCCTGAGTATGCGAGAGGCAATCCGTTTTTCCGAACAATACGGGCCACACGCAACTGCGATTACGAATTTGGCGGAGGACAGAACCGCCGCGTCGTCCACTATGTGGTTCGCCACCATTGATCAATTGACAACTATCCCAAGGGACAAGGACAAGTAGCGAATGTCCTCAATAACGTTACCAGGATGCGCACTGGCTTCTGTAATTATTTACGGTGCTGAGTAGGCTTATGATAACGCTGGTTCGAACGTGTCCGTTGTATTGGAGATCGCTTGGACGTTCAATATATTGGTTTACGAGACTATACAGGCATTCGTGTTACATAGGCATCAAAACTTATGGTTCAAGGTCGCGTGTACATCATGGTCCGCAATTTCACTCGCCCTGGTACGGCGTGAAGGCAGGGTAGTTGCCACCCGTCGGGAAAGTGTTGAACGGAATGTAGCCATTGGGACCAGTTTCCGTAGGTTCCACGACTGTGGTCGTAGTAGTACCACTTTGCGTGGTCGGATACACAGTAACCGTCCGCACATGCGTTGACGAGGTGGACGGTGAAGTAGTGGAGGTGTGCGTCCTGCTCCTCCTGGTGGTGGAGGACGTGGTGGAGGACGTAGTCCTCGAGTGCGATGAGGACGACGAGCTCGAGGCGGTGATAGTCGTCGTCGACGTCGCGCTCGAGATACTCGAAGTGGACGAGCTGCTCCCGCCAAGAGTGGTGGTTGACGTGGAAACGGAGCCTGTCGAAGTCGACGTGCCGCTGGTACCCGACGAAGTCGTCGTCGAGCCCGTCGTAGTCGTCGTCGAGCCCGACGTAGTTGTCGTCGAACCCGACGTAGTGGTGGAAGCACCGTCAGTAACAGTAACGGTGACTGTCACAGTGACCTCCGTTCCTTGTCGCTTCTCCACAATAGGCAGGGGAGTGACCTGCGGTAGCAATTGGTGCACTTCAGGTGTCAGATTGATGTCAACTGGCACAGCGACTGCTTTTGAAAGACATGTTAGCGGGCGGAGACAAAAAACGTGTTGAAGTCGACGTACCAACGGATGTGCGAGCAGCAATGCAAGCCAACACGACGATTGCGCTGAGCAATTTGTTTATGTTGTGCATCATTGTGGGAGTGGTGTACAGGAGTATGTGTCGCGGGTGTAATTGCTGCTGGGTTGAACGAGCTGGATGAGGTAACTCTGAAGAAGGGATTGGTGAGGTTTATATACCTGTCGGGCCTCCCTTCCCGTACCGCAACATCACATATGAACACCCCAGTAAAGTGGCGGTACCAACGGTCGTAGATGCAGCGGGAACAAGTGGCTACTCTGCGGCTAGGGGTACCATCGGCTCGTTGCCTGCCTCCTATGCAGATACACTGCGAGTGCGTCACGACCGAGGCGGCTCCACCAGTCTGGTTCGGGATCGAGCGCAGTCGAGCGCATAGGGCCTCAAGTACTTGTGATATCTCCAACTTGCCTTCGCTCGCGGACTCGGTGCGGAGAGCTCACCTGCCGGCATGCGCGCATGGGAGGTCCACGGACCGCGGCCTGTCCTGGATGTGGGACCCAAGCGCATCATCATCGATCGCTTGTGCCGCCTGTTTTTTGCTGTCGTTGATGCCGCTGCGGTCTAGAGCGCATAAGAGGAGCGATATGGTGAAGTGGAAAGTTCCGATGAGAAGCTTCACTGCAGTATAGCCAGTGACCCTTGCCGCCAACACTTTTCCACTGGGGCGATCGGTGACCCAGTAAGACTGGAAACCAAGACTTCAGGCACTTCGCAGGCTGTGCTGTCGATCCGCCTCTTGAAGTGGCCCTGATCCGCCGCGGACGTCGTCAAGTCTGAATTGCAATACGCTGGAGCATCTACCGGTGAAAGCTAGCTGTGAGCGTGTAACTCGACAGCTACGCGTTCTTTGCATGGATTGCATGCGGAATACGAAGAGACAGCAAGCGCGAAGTCCGACAATCGAACGAGCTTGAGCTCGCCGATATGCAGAACGATTCGGAAGCCTGGGTTTTTAGCGCTAGTGGCGATTGGCTCTGCGGGAACTGCCGCTGGTCGTAGCCGGCGGTGCGTACCATCTGCTTAGCCTGCAACATGAGCGGCGCGGAGCGTTGGAAGGACGACAGTCAGGTAGAAATGAGTCTACCCTGTGAGAGTTTCGCCGACGGACGTAACCCACAGTTGGGCCGAGCGACAAACCGAGCCGAAACATTCGGGTTCCAGTGTCGGTGCTCCAACCTCTCTACTAAACCCTGGATTATCCCCTATAACCCTCGGATTCGATAGCCTGATCAGAGTCGTTCCGACAAAGAGCCGCGGTCTCGGACCCCGAGGATATGCACGCTCAACCCAGTCAAGCTCACTCCGACTGGCGAACCATATGAATTTCAGCCCGAGGTCCAGTCGCGCGCTGGATCTTTTCCACAGGTCGCGGTTCGCGCCTTGGGCGGTACTGTAGAAAGTCACCTACCACCGTAAAATCCCCGTGGCTCCCCGCGTGCGGGCGGATTGTGCTTCCGCGGCACGCCTTCTCGCGATCGGACCTCGTTCCCGGCGAGTTTCGCCCCCTGCTATCGCGGGACGACATTAGACCCCGCTGCAAGGATCGAACGCCGATACCATTGGAGACGCCGATCGCCAGCGCGTTCGGGGACGTATTCAGTGACAGCGATGGATCATTCTCGTCGTCGGCGTAGAGTCCCTGGGGTGGGAAGTCTGGCGGGACATTGGAAGGATGACAGCGACGAAGGGCTCACCTGGAAGGTTCTAAGTACTACGCTGCGTTCAGAGGCGCCCTGTGACCCCCATCACGTCCTAACGCCTGGTAAGGTATGCGATTTGAGCGCAAATTGAATTAAAGCGAGGTTTGCAGGGAGTCTTATTCGAGAGCGAAGGACGGGCATTGGTAGTAGGCGCTGGGCCTGGGAGATCGGCCCGGGTCACGACCCGACGCTCAATCTCGGTCCGACTCCCTTCTTCCGGCCTGTTACGGACCAGAAAGCCTGTTCGCCTTGAGGTTGTTGCTTCGGCTCGATCTGTCTCTGTGCTTTATGTTGAGACGAAGATGTACGACGATTGCTCTGCATTGTCGTCTTGTGGACTGTTGCAGTAGAAAGGTCGCCGTATAACGAAGGGACCGTTTGATGTAGGTGAGTACATTATCATTCGATGTGAGCGGGCTGCATGGATGACATGGATGGGCATAGCGCTTGCAGAGTGTATGCTTGTGAGGGGAACGCACAGTGCGGTGGCGAGAAGAGAGGAGGGCAGTGAGCAGCGCGTCCTTCTGCGCTAGGCACGCAACCGCGCAGGGGGTGGATCGAAGAGAAGCGAGCTGAGGCACTGTTCGCATCCGTTCGCTGTCACCGTGCGGCCACTGGCGGCCACTTGCGGACACTGGCGGCCACTTGCGGACACTGGCGGCCACTTGCGGACACTGGCGGCCACTTGCGGACACTGGCGGCCACTTGCGGACACTGGCGGCCAGACGTGTTCGTCGCGGGTTATTTTCCCCGCTTCCCCGGGGTTATATTCCCCGCTTCCCCTCCCTGCCTCCCCAGCATCTTCTCCCCTTGGTGGCCACTCAGTCTCCCCTTCCATCCACGCCGCCCCGGCATCCACGCTCCTTCTTCCATCCTTCCGCTTGCACCAACATGCGCTACTTGAACCCCATCCTCGCCGCCCTACTCCTTGTCGTTCATCGTGCGTTCCTTCACTCACCATAACCTCCAGAGGCCCTAACCCCTCCCCTTTCCCCTAATCTAGTCCCTGCCATCTCCGCGGGCGCGACCGACCTCGTAAACTCGGACCGCATCGTCGTATGCCCTTTTCCATATCCGACACAGCCGTCCGACGCTAACCTTACCTGCTCCTTCCCAGAACGCCGTCCATGCAGCTCAAAATGCCGCTCTATTACCCGACGTCACTCAAGACGCGGTACGTCCCTCTTCCCTGCTCTGCCATACCATGTTGAATGGTCCCCCCAGCCGACTTCCTCGAGCTCGTCTACAGCGCAGACGACGTCCTCCGACCCTGCCAACACCATCACCACCCCAACGACGTCCCAGCCCACCTCCCTGACTTCCACTGCGATCTCTCGTTCCCTCACCGACACCGACACCGACCACAACACCAGCAGCACCGACAGCGCGCACTCGGACACCACCGGGTCCAACACCAGCTCCGGGACCAAGACCGGATCTGACACCTTGCAGAAGGTCTCTTCCACCCCTCTGTCTATCACAACGACGTCCGAGACCCCCACCATCACGAGCACGGTACGCCCTCTTCCTTTTTCCCCCATCCCCACCTATACCCGCGCCCCATCGAGTCCTCGTCGCCTTAACTCCCACCACCCATCCATCCATCCATCCTGATCCCTCCTGCCCCGCCTGATCCGGGAATCCGGCGGCTGACACTCACCCAACTCCCGCCCACAGACCGCAGTGCCCGCCTCCCACGCCGACGTCCCCCCCGGCGCGTCCCAGTCCGGCACGCTCACCGTCCCCGCCGCGCCCCTCGGCTTCGGCGCGAGCACCGCGAGCGGCTTCACGACCTTCACCCTCGCCCCCCCGGCCCCCAGCGACAACGCGACCAGCGTCGGCGTCGTCAACCCGCTGAACGCCGCCGCCGCCGCGCGCGGCGTGCTCGTGGGGCGGCTCGCGGTCGTCGCCGCGGTCGTCGTCGGCGCTGCGGTCGTCGTCGGCTTCTGAGTCGCCTTGGGTCGGGGGACTGGGAGGCGAGGCGCGCTCCGTGGGGCCCGGGACGGGAATTGTGGGCGGCCCAGTGGGTGGACATGGCGTTGGGCACGGGCACGGGCACGGGGCATCTGGACAGCAAGTCATCCGCCCGGGCGTATTCTCTCATCCCGGTCTTCGAGTCGTGCCTGCGGGCGGCCCGGCTCCGCGGCGAAGGGCGCGCGGTGTCGCGTCTCCGTCTTCTCGGTATTTTCTTGGGCGTATCATTATCATCGTGGGGATCGAACGTCCCTGTTTCTTCTAGCGTTACCGGCCTTCGTCGTGTCTTGTCTGGGATATGTTGTTGTACCTGTCTGGCGGGCCGCGAGAGCCCTAGTGTATACCGACGGCATGCGCGCGTGTCGTCCGAGCAATGCCAGTGTAGCCTTGTTTCGGTCAACCCTAGTCGGGGCGCGGAACGCGTCGCGCGTTCGGATTCATGCCACTCGAACGCAAGGTGTTGATGGGCCGCATCAATCCACCGTTCAGGCAAGTCGGGGTTGTGGGCGACAGTTGGTAGTGTGCCATCGCAAGAGCTCGGTCAACGCAGTGGCGGAGGGCGGCCAGCGCCGGTTCAAGCGAGCCGTCGCTGCTGCTTCATCATCATGTTCCAACCCGAGTCTGCTGAGATGGATGCGCGCTGCGCCGACTCCCTCCCTGTTGCGGTTCGCCGGTCGTGAGTGCGACCGTCTTCTCTGCTGAGAACCACGCGAAACGCAAGGCGCCAGCGTTACTGCCCGAGATGCAAGACAGTGCTTCTTATTGACGTAGTTGATTCAGAAGACTGCTATCATTGAGCCACATTGTATTGAAGCATTCCCATGTCATCAGTGGACCAAATGGGGGGAAGCTCGCGAACAGGCTTTGCTGGTGATGTTTGGAGAGATGGCGCCGAATTCACATACACAGTGATGGGGTCATAAAAAATTCTCAGAAGCTGAATTCTGATCTCCTTCAATACCTTGAATGGAACACCATCGGGAGGGATCCAGGGAAAGATGGCAGAATGTGTGCCCTGAAGAAGAAAAGTGAGGTTTCTTTCATGCTCTCCTGAGCTCGTTAGAAGGGACGCTAGAAGATCACAGCAGAAGCAACACTTCTTGCTGACCCCAATGGGGATCAAAGAGACCTGTTGACCTTGAGCAGCAGGACCAATGCATCAGCAAAGTTTGTACTCGCCTCAAATACAGGTCTAATGTCCGACAACTGTTGCTGAAGCGCAGCGTCTTCAGCTTTAGCGCTCTCGCGGACAGAGCATGCCAGCGCCATGATAATAGATTCTGCATGCAGAGAGCCGTTATAACGGAACCTCAGAGATGACAAAGCTTGATCAATCTCCTCCTTGTCCTCCTCTGAGAACAGAAAACGCTGAAGAAACCTATTCTTGAAGTCCTGGATATGCCCCTGGGTAATGGTGGGGGTGGAGGACGTAGCATAGACCATGAAAGCCTCTAGACCAGGCGACAACGGCGACAGCTTGTGGCAGTAGTGGACCAAGAATTGAGCAGCGGCAAGAGGGATCACCAGTGTCTTCAGGTAGCGAATGACGTGCTGTAAATCGTCCTCCATGTCACGGACGTTGGACAGACGCCCCTTTTTGCCGCCCATTCCCTTTCCTTTGACGCCCACCTTCCATTTCCGGACCGTTTCCTTTCCTAGCTCATCCCAGTTTGGACACTGTAGATACGTTCCCACAGCCGCATGCTACGTTCCCGTGATCGCCATGCCCTTGCCTTTTCTTTCTCGCCCTTTGTTCCCCCTTTGTCATCTTCACTGCCTCGCTCTCGCGCCTTGTCCTTGGTTGCTAAGCAGCCCCTCTAGTATATAAGGACCCCCCTAGGCGCTCCCTAGTCCCCCATCTCGACCTCTTGGTCATTGGGACTAGGTGAGTGACCATAGCGTTGTATCTCTCTTCGATTG